ACAGTCTATTAAAAAATCATGTATGTTTTACTTTAAATATGGAGGGGGGGATACATGCATTATTCTGTCAGCTAAGACCAAGCACCATGGCAATCCTCTGAAAACGCAGCAGTTGCCAAGCGGCAGCTCGTGCTCAGACAGATCAGACAGCCAGCGCCGCCCGAGCAGGTAACCCTCCAGTGGCCTGCCAGCGTGCTCTGCTCGAACCCTGTGCCTCTTGGCCAGCGTCTCTGGCTCTGGCTGGCCCTCGCAAACCGAACGTCTGTCTCGGAATGTGGGAGAGCGCCGGGCCGTCGGGTCCCTTCCTGTAAATCTCCCTCCTGGTCCTGCTCTATCGCCCTCAGAGGGTCCAGCCTCCTCGGGGCCCCATGAAAACCCCAATTAACACTCCGTTCTAAGTAAACACAGGCCGGGAAGATGAAAGCACTTGTCGACTTCAAAGATCTTAAAGATCAGCCTACGTGGGACTCTATAAAATATATTTCTGTATACATACACTGTATATGGGAGAAAATGTCAGACTATATTTGTGACGATGGCTCCCCTGCACCACAAATTTGTTAGGAATGACACTTTTATTACTTAAACAAAGAGAAGTACATCGGTCACAGAAAGGACTTCTGTAAATGTCTTAGAAATACGGACGCCAAGCTTGTCTGTCCCTGACAGAAGTGGAACTGCTCACTATGGCTACGCCTAAGTATTAGGAAAATGTGTCCACATCTGACCAGCATGTGAAGATACGGTAAGGTTAGCTGGTTAGCTGGTAGGTGAAGAGCCGGAGGCAGGCGTCTCGATGGGGCTGTGAAGTAGCGCGCGGTGTTTGTCATGGAGGCGTGGCTAAAAAGGCCCGGGGGGCTTGGTAGCGAGTGCAGAAGGTCAGGGGCGGGCCTTAGTTGTTCAGGGGCTTTAAGGGCAGTGGGTGACAGCGGAGTCTTGTGCTAATTGAGAAGCACTCAGGAAGAATGCGTTCAAGGAAAATGGCGTACACTGCGGGTGTATGAACAACCCTTTTAATTGCGAGAGGAAAAACAGAATTCAAGTTAAGATGCTGTGTGAGAAGGTCATAGGTTCAAATCTTGGGGGCAATAGAGTTATTTCACTGTCAGGCCTCTAAGCATGGCCCTTAATCCCCAATTGCTCCAGGGACAGTCTGAGCTTTGCTTTCTTGGAAAAAGAAAAAAAAAACTTTGCCTAAAAGCATCTGCTAAACAAATAAAATACAAAAAAAACCTAATAATTAAAGTGATACTAGTCGAGGGTGAGGTGAGTCACCAAGGCAGAGACACCATGGTGAAGTTGCTTGTTTTTGTTGACCTGCTACGCATTAGCAGGGACTCGTCCGTGTAAATGAATCAAGATTGAGCCCATTCAGACACAATAATTAATCGTATGCTGAAAGTCCCACTCGCTCGTTCGTCACTCCACGCACCCTCGCATCGTACCGTCATCAAAGGCAAAAGACGCACAACAACAACAACAACAACAATAATAATAATTATAATAATAATAATAATAATAATAATAATAATAAATTGCACCATGCAGCTCCTTCTGCCTGTACGTTGCCCTCAGCGGTTCTGGCACTGTTGATGGGCACAGCGGGCTTCTCACGGAACCGCCGCGGCGTATCGCATTACGCAGAGATTAGAACGACGCTGCCAGCGGTTATGATGTACGAGCTGCCGGGTCGCTTTGTTCACGGGCAGGAATGCTGGGAGCCGACTGTCTGCCTCTGGAGAAACGGAGGTGTTGTGAAAACAAACAGATGGCCCCGGGAGTGCTCGTGCGTGTGCGTGCGTGTGGTCAGTGTTGACAGCGCGTAGTGGCATCGCGTTTCATCTCTTATAAGGCACTTAACGCGCCTCTCCGTACGAACTGATACTAAGTCCTATATTTTAATGACGTGACCTTAAACATTTGAAGTGAAAAGCCTCAAGTATCTGATATCTGTAGAAATCTAAAACATATTCAGGCACATGAAGTAACTTTGCGATGCGAGTCAATCTTTTTAATGAATATTGTGTTTCTAAGAGCAGTGTTGTATTTCACAGTGTTTGGGGAGATTATGCTAGAAAATATATTTACGTGAACTGAGTAGGCACACTATATAAGGTGTCCTGTGATGGGGATGATGATAATGGTGAGCTCAGAAACCACTGGAATATTTTCCACGTTAAGCTAGAGCGACACCACGGGCACCATCGGACACGATTCACCTGAGCATCTCTGTTGTGGTTGGGGATGACATTTCCAACCTCTGAGGCACAACCTGAAAACAGGTGTGAAGATAGAACTCTATGTCTTTTTAAAAGAAATGGAACTAAAGTCAAAGAAAAAAAACAAGACTAAATCTGTCTAAATATAAAGTGCCTCTAAGGGACAATAGATACTTCATCTTTTGATTTGGGTTTTAACTGACTACATGGATGTCTGTGGACAAACGAATTATATATAGGCTATAAACTGGCCTCCAAGTTATCATGAGTCTTTAATTTTTAGATGTTAGTATTGTAAAATAATAACGTTAAACATTTCATTGATCTGTGCCGAATAGGATACGTCACAGAAAAAAGTATATTCCACGAATGCTCATAAAGCGCGTACCGGCTTCATAGCCCCGATCCAGGACTCGCTCACAGTGCCGTGTTTTCCCACAAGGGGAGGATGTTGACCAACATTTCAGTCGCACCAGGAGTCCTGAATTCACGCTGTTATCATGAAAATGATTTCTAAACATGAAAAGCTGTTGATCCCATTGTTAGAATTTCATTTATATTATATTTCAGAAATTGATCGATCCTATATGACCATTGCTAATAGAAATCTAAAATACACCGTGAACGTGCAATACATTCACGCAACTCCACACAAAGCTGCAGCTGTACGTATGACAAAAGGCGGACAATCTATAATGCTTAGAAATTAAACTTTCTGGTTTTTCTGCGATATCGTGTGACGTCTGCAAGCTACATGCTAATTAAGGTGGACCCTCTAATGACCATAATGCCTAAAACATGGCCGATCGAGGAGAATTCAGCCCACCTGGTACGTGTCTTTTCCTGTTTGGAAAACCTTGCCAATGAAAATATTCGTTTCATAAGAAGTTTTTTTTGTTTGTTTTTAACCAGCCCACATCAGTCCGTGTTAAAGTGTTTTCATGTAAGACCCTAAATCAAACAAACAAACAGAGCGATCTTTGCCGGCGTATCTATTTTTGGAATCTAGCCGGGTGAACAAGCTACAGAAAAAAATAAAAGCAGGACTGACACTGTTATTGGCCGATTCGACGACACAGCAGCCGTACAGCAGAGTATTTGCAGCCTCCTGATTTAGCACAGACTTCTCAGGGCCACAGACGACAGGTTCAGGCACACAGGAGGGGCCGGCCTCCGACATCAGGAGACCTCTTGCTGTGGACATGCCGAGAGGCGAAACCCGGCGCTGAACCTTTTACCTTCACATTACTCTCGTTTTCAAAGCCAGCGACTCCTCGCGTTGCCTATAATTTTGTCATCAGTCACTATTTTTATGCAGCAGATGTTTCCAGCTGTCAGTTGGTCCTCCTACAAAGGAAGACTGAGAGCTCCTTCCTTTAAACATTTGCACATGTTCGCTTCTCGACCCAGCAGTAAGTGGGAAAATACACATTGTGTAGCATGACGTGTATTATCAATCTGCCGCGTGACCCCGAGGGCAGACGCGTACGACGGGGTTTTAAGCTTTTAAATACATATTCAATCGAAAAGAATCAAATTCGGGCCAATAAAAGCGGCCACAAAGCATGTGAAACAAGCAGCAACAGTCGCATAAATACCATTTTATCAAATTTCATGAAAAGTAAAAAAACCGCTTTGTTTTAAACGGTATTACATTTTTAAATAGCTATTGTTATTCATCTTAATTAGGATGTAAGCAACCCCGTAAATCGATAGTACAGAGGTGGATAACACCATAATAATCGTACATTTTAATGGATATACTATATCGAAATATATTTGTCTTTTATTTCTGCGACCTTTGAACAGTAAAATAGGCCTATTAGACATCTTAACAATTTAAAGATATTTCCCTGGGCTACAAGTTTCGTTGTGAATCTCAGCAATTGGCAAATAACTTTTTTTTTCTCCCCCTACAACACACTGCAATTAACAGAATATTACTTTCTAAAGATCCGTAAAGTGGTGAGTCTAAATGCTACTGCGGTTTTTATATTTAAGTTTTAGCCCGATGAAAATTTACCCTGGAGATATATAGGCAAGTTGATCCATATTGCCCTTAATGTTATTGCTCCTTATTGAAAGACATCCCTCAAACCATAGGGAGCTGTATTAAGCACATTTTCTATGTTTATGAAATATATATTAACACCACACAAACTCTGTATGTTGTTTCCAATAAAAACGCTCTTCATGGAAATTATGCGTATATATATATATATATATATATATATATATATATATATATATATATGCTTGCAATTTCCCCTCATCGGTCAATTAAAGCTACAATATATTATTAAATTACATTATATCTATATTATAGCCCCAGATTTAGCAAAAGTTGCATCTTTTTACATGCGAGTGAAATAAAATTAATTCAGATATAGTTGTAAAAGGTCGAATACGTTATCAAACAATGTGCCACTACAGTCGTTAGTGAAAGTTGCGGAAAGTGCACTTGGGGAATGATTGAAGCCGGCCTAGCTGTCTTAGTTAATTTGCAAGCCGTCATTTGGGAGGGCCGCTTCTTCATGGTTATCGATTGTCCAACCGAGTCGAGATTGTAATGGAGGCAAACAAAAAGCTTATGGCTTGCGAGATTAGGGAGTTTTTTGAACGTCTTCTTCGCGAGGAATGGGTCAGAAATCCATTTCCATTGGTAAGATTATTCTTCATATCCGCGTTAGGGGTAGATGCATGGCAACCAGTCAGTTACCGACAATCATTATAGCCTACATCAATTATATAATTAAATGTTTTAAATATGACGGATGTGTACGGAAATTGGTAATATTTCAGTGCGGCTCTATCCAGAGTTAAATTTACTGTAATATTTTCAGTTTCTGTATCAGAGGTCTAATCTACAATTTAGCTGTCAGATGGATGTTCATCATAAATTGTGAATAATCATCAAAAATAATAAAATTACATAATTTGAGTGCACTGTTAATTGGGTAGCGTTAAATTTTAATACTTAATTTTGTGTAGCTGTTTTTCCGTATTTTATTTTAACATTAAGTTATGTAATATATCTGTATGCTTATATAGGCTATGTACTAGGCCTATATATGCAGTTTGCTTTTTGACAATAACTTCAAGTGGACTACCAAAATCCGAGTTACTTCTTAATTATGTAAGGCACAGTAGGTATTAAAAGACATTGAAAAGTTACGTGGGATTGTTTGCGCCTATCTTCCGAAATTCATTGTTTCCGCCTGCGCGTCTAGCTTCTTTAATTGAAAAAGACGCATTTTTAAACCTCCGACAGCGAAGCTTCAGAACTTGTTGAAACCATTTTAGAGCCGAACTTTCTTTTCACAAATGGTCTCGTTTAACATTTCCTCCCTTTCCCCAGCAAATTGCTCATTCCCACGGCACGGGGTGATTGAAAACGGCCGGGGTTATACTCAAGAAAATGGGACTTTCATAGTTTTCATAGCAATCTGCGAGGTGAGAGGAAGTTATTGTAGCCGTTTTCCTTTCTTGTGTAGCCCATTTCTGCGAGGCTTTGAATTTGAACAGTTTCAGTTAATTTATCCCAATGGAAACTGCTTCTTAATGTATCCGACTTTTAAACGACTGCGTATATTTACTTTATAATACAACAGTTTTAATAGGCCGATATGGGGTGAAGAGGAATATTTTGCAGAGTTGAATTCACCAGTGTATTTTCACACTAGTTTATTTCTGACAAGCAGGTCTTTGTGTTTGATTTACTTATGTGCTCATGCAGTTCTTGTATCAAACCAGGGCGATTAGGACGCACGTCGTTTTACGGCAGAAATACGCTCTTGCGAACTCAATACATGAACTCGATTTTCAATACTTGCTGCGATTGTTCGAATTCTGTTTTTAAAAAAGCGCTTAAACAAACGAAATACATCAGATTTTTAAAAAATATAATTACAAAAAAATGTAGGGATTTTTACAGTAGTGATTATGTAATTATAATCGGAAATTAAACGAATAATAAAATGATGCTATCTATAGCCGACAAATAAAGCACAGATAATTCAGGAGTACCGTTTTCATATCGCTCATCGTCACTTAAAATACTGTTGGTTCTAATTCAAGACAGTATTTAGGCCTGTTCTGTAAACATTTTCTGCCACTGAAAGGCGCTAAAACACTGCTAGTTATGAAGTCGCATTATTGGCGTTTGCTTGTGGCATTGACGAGTTTATTACTTTTTTAACATTCAATGCTGAAAATATTGAGCACCTGACAAGATCATTCGTAAGTTCAAAACATGTGATACATTTTTGTGCCGATAATTTGAATATGAAGATTATCGTATTTATAATTCAAAACAAAATGGCGAAAATTTGACGAATGTAGCCGTATTTCGGTAATCTTGCTATGTCTTAATTATTTTCTACTTTAATTCAACAAATTGTATTAGGTCTATATTTTCATTTAATTTTTACTGTAAATTGTAATGGTTAGGCCTGTTAAAAATCTTAAAAATTTAAAGTTAATTTAATTCCAAAATCTGAATTAGGTATATACGTACGTCTTCATCGAAAAATGTATTTTTAAAACATTTACATGAAATGTGTGCTTAAAGTTGAAATAAAGACCTGTTACAGTATACCGATGATTTTTAAACCGCACAGGCTGATTTTATATAGGCCTAGGTATATACAGGATGCAATTCTATTAAAATGTCACGTAACAGGTTTGATACAGGCATATTTATACATTTTAAATTATTACCTATTTTAAATTTGAATATCTTGTCCTGTTTTTTCAGTAGCCAAAGTAGAAAAAATATGTTTATCACTAATATAATCCAGTCAGGTTGCAAGGCGTGACAACAAAATTTAGCATGAGGTTCACGGTTAAGTAAAGTGATTGTTGTTAACATTATCGACCAACTCCCTTGATTAAACAACCAACAACAATACGCATTACCATTCTTGTGTATCATTTCACTGCATCAGTGCATACTGCATTTTTGCCATGGCACTGCAAGAGTGAAGAATGAAGCTAAAAGCTAACTTCTAACATTGCTGCTATTACGTTACGATAACATTACAAGGCCTTATACATTTAGGACCAACAACCCCTTTCTCAGATATTTTCACCATAATGTTAGTGCAGAATTTCTTGCAAGGGAGAGTTTTTCATTTTAGTAACGAATCAGTGCAGTGTCACTGCTTAACTGCACAAAAGGATTTCAGACTCTCCAGCCCCCCCCTACAAAGACTGTGCCATCGGATCCTATTCGGGTCACCCGGGCGAAAAGTAGTTCATTTTGATTAACATGACCAGTATTCCTCAGGTTACAGAAGCCGGTAGCTTGGAGTTTGACTGGGGTGTAATCCATTCCTCTAACCGAGCCTCTTCCCCCCTCTTGCTGTCTCTTGCTGTCAATCCCGCTTTCATCTCGGCAGTGGTGATCAATAGGCGCTCCCCTCGTAATGGGTTTTGCTCTGCAGTCACTGCAAGGGGGCATTTCAGCGCACGCATCGCCATCAACGGCAGCACCAGGACACCGCAGAACAGGAATGCAAAAGGCTGCTGTTTACCGCCGTCCGCCCATCTGCCACTGCTACGTCCGGCTGCGGTGCCGACTTTGTGTTTGGTCTGTGTCACATAGACATCTGCTGGATGATAATTTGCAAACTGAATATTGACTCATTGTCATATTCATCAAGAAGGTTCTCTAGGCGGGGACTAATTAGCAAACCATCCCATTGACGTTGACTTTGTATTTCAATCATTTAAGTGAGATTTGTCCCGAATTTTCCCTGAGATCACCATCGATTGTCTTTATCCCCCCACGCATGAAAATCTGCCAAAAAAAAGTGACAGGCTAAATTTTATTATTCCAACTAACAGGTCACATCGCAGATCACATACAGACATTTCCTGAGTGAGTCTGGGATTTTGGGATTTTGCTGGGAAATGTGCAAGCGCACGTGCACCACCGGTGGGTAAAGCTGCAGGTCAGGTGGGACGCGGAGGTCGAAGGCGGTGACGGCTGCCAGCACAATGAGACGCCCTACTTAATGAGCAGATGGAGAAACAAAGACAGAGAGTAGATACCCCTGTTGAGGGGCCAGGCGAGGCCCGGAAGTACTTCCTGTTGGCACGTACCATTGCCCATTTCACGGGCACAGGAAGTAACACATAATGGCACGTACCATTCTGTGTAATAAAATGAATAAAACCTCTCATCCCTCTACCTTTTAGGCTTCTAAAGTGGCATCTTCTTCTCTGGCCTGGATGTTCAAGGGGGCCCTGTGTCATGGTGAAACACTTATGGCATGAAGGACCCACAGTCGTTTTTATTCCCCAGTTTTACTTGGGAAGACCAGGGAAAGTGTAAACATGACCCCATGCCACATCCCCAATAGGTGCCACATCCCTGGGACACTATGCCACATCCCAGGTCCTGTGCCACCTTCCCAACAGGTGCCACAGCCCTGGGTATATAAGTCCAAATTTGAAAGTACCAGGGCCACGTGCCTGAGCACTTACTCTCTTCTTCTCCATGGCGACTCCTGACACGTGGCGTTGCCCCAAAGTTGGGTTGGCGGTCCAGGCTGAAGTGCGCCTCGCGGTGACTCCTACAGAGCAACATTAGCCTGGAAATACTAATGCATCTTAATGGATATTCAAGAAGTGGAAGTATATTAAACAAATCACAGAAACACCCCAACTGTGGTTTGCGGTGAAATGCCCCACCTCCCTCCGTGTAATCCCTCTCCCTGAGTCAAGGGGGCTTTTATTACTTTTCATCCGGCCTCTCACACGCTCTTCACCATCAGCATAAAATGCAATCACTTGATGTAGGGTCCAAGAGAAGCTTTGTCCTCGCCAACATTAATGCAAACAGCAATAAGAGCCCGCGGCTCTCGGCTCTGCCGGGCGAACAGGAGGAAAGGCTCGTCAGCAGGATTCAAGTGTGAGAGATCTGTCCGCCGGAGGAGTAACCATTTCTGCCATGTCATAATTCACGTCTTCTGCCGCTTCCTTAAAAAACGCGACCATTCCCTGTCTTCCATTGCTCTGGCGGTGTGGCTGAGCTCAGGCAAGTGGAAAACGTGGTAAAAAGGAGGGAAATTCTGCCCGAAAACGTACACGCATGACACACACCTCTCTTCCGAGACACACAGGGCCCCTCAATATTTTATCCACCCCATTTTTGGTCGTACTTTTCCCTCAGCTCTGACTTTTTGGTTTTCAAAGTGATATTAAAGGTTTAAAACTGCATGTATCCCCTGATACATTATTATTGCACAGTTCTAGTTAACTATAAATCAAGGCGCTTGGCCGATATTTGCAGTAAAAGATCCCTTACTGGTTTCCAGTCGCAGCCGTGACCTATGCACTGGGGAACAGGCTAATGCAAATTCCTTGCTCAAGTGGAACGTGCTTTAACAGGTGTACGCGTCCTACGCAAGAAGACGATGGGAACTACCACAGAAGTCCAAGCAACATGGCGTTAGTGGTCTCCTTGTGCAAGAAGACATTTAAATGACACGAAAATGTATCGCACCACTATATCTTAGCGCCAGGCTAAGCGGCTCCCTTAGGTTTCTCCGGCAGATGAGTAGAATTAGAGAACGATGAAAGCATTTGCAATCAATCAAACAATTATTCCACAGCGAGTATATGCTGGTCTTTGTCACAGACATTTTTTTTAATAATACATACACAAACTGTATTAAAGGAAATAGTGCTTGGTGATGAAGCCAAGCCATAAAAAGCTGTAGTTTACGTATAAAACCGAGTGAATTCTGGACATTTGAGATATTTCATGATTTTAACAAAAGGCAGCTTAAGAGCGAGTGCCGGTTTATCACTGGATGAGCATCGGATGTGCATGCACACATAAGCTGGAATTATGCATGTAATGTAATCAGCCCACGGCCTCTGTCGCATTACAAGCAGCATTTTCCCGGCCTCCATTAAGATGTAATCTGCTCAGCCGGCGGAAACGCCACGGCCAGAACGCCCGGCGCGTTTGCAGGGAAACGGTGTCTGCTCCAGTGTGCCGGACAGGCTGGCCCCTGCCCGCAGTGTCTCATCAACGATTGCCTCTAAGCACCTGAAAGATTCTGTGGTGGCATTCTGGTGCAAAATTCGTGCAAAATTTCCCTCGACAGTGGTGCTTTCATATATATGCGGGTGACAGCATGTAATTATTTATGTACTCTGATCGTCCCCCCACCTGACATTATAAACATACAGTTTGGCCCTTTGTGGGTATAACTGCGTGTGATGTGCTACCTGTGCTCTGGTGAGTATGGAGGATTTAAGAAAGACCAGGTGAGCGTTTCTGCATTCAGACAGAGAGCATGGCGAGCTGTTTAGCACCAGTGGCCGGATTACCTGGCCGCAATCACGACCCGTTACTCTCCAAGATTAGAAAATTAGATTATGTCAGGGCTGAATTTATCCTCTAATACAAAGTGAAATCTCTCAGTAGCCTGCAGTTTGTTTTCTTCTTCTCCTGCCAGGGAACGAAACATACTTGGGGTATAATTGTTCGGTTTTTAAGAGCAATCACACGTTCGGCTCTCCGTGTCGGGGACAGCATGCAGGCACTGTGAGGACCAACCCCGAGAGCTTCCTCTTCATGGCGACGACGATGAGTACAGTAAAATTAAATATAGCAGAAAGAATACAAGGCCACAAAGGGCAATAAACTATACGACAAAGAATAAAAATAAGACTGATTAAATATAACTCACATAACCACTTGTGCTGTTTTAAATTATAAACAGAACAAGATTTGATGCATGTTTCAACATATTCTTCCCCAAACAGGCATGCATCTGCCTTACAAATACCACTGGAATTTTACAAAATGTACAAATATGGATGATTATGCATTTGCTGCAACTGATTCAATTTTATTTGCAAATGTATTGCACATGTATACTCTCAAAAAATAAAAAAAGTAACTTTTTTTTTAATATTTGCAAAAACGCGTTTCTTATGGTTCCATGTTTTTGAAGTGATCACGTGTATGATAGTATTTACTCAAATCTTAAAATTACTTACATTTTAAACATTGCAATGATTATTTTTCATTTTCACTTTTAGCAAAAATGACCAGATTTTCAACTCAATAGTAAAAAAAAATGTTTAAGGATAACAAAACATACATCATATTCTGCTTATTAAAGAACACTGCCAATCTGAACGAGAAACTCAATAAAGTATACAGAAGTAAATATACAGACCTTTACCAGCCCACAAATCAGATTACCTCTTGCTGTTTTAATTAGCAGGTATGAGAAATATTACCTAAGCATCACAAGGTTTGCTAACATATAACAATACTTGCAAGATTGAAAGACAATTTTATTAAGTGTATTAGTTACTGCTAGTTAGGCTTACACTCTGCGGCATGTAACAAGAACAACTTTTCAGATAAAATAAAAAAACACAGCTATCTCAGCTTTGCAGAACACTCTTCCTCTAATTAAAATACCGATAAAAGACATGGGGGGGGGGGGGGGGGAGTACAAGAAAAAACAAGAGTAGCTAATTAGGTCTGATTTCATAACACAAACTGCCACCCAACGTAACTCCTGTCCAATGCATTGATGTGTCAAAGGGCTGAAAAGAATACAGTGTGTTATCACGTCATAAAAAATCTTTAGCGAGGTGAAAACAAGCCAGGCCATTTTTTTAAAAAACACTTTGATGTTTGGTAGTTTTTGGTTATGGAGCAGACGAAGTTTGCGCCCAGCCCTGCAAAATCCTCATCCTGTTAAGCTTGGGAGAATAGCTGAGGGCAGAACCGGCTACTGGGTGAGAGTGGAAAGGAGATCCTGCCAGGTCGGGTCTGTCCAGGACACTTTATTTCTTTTTTTCTTCTAAAGGCATCGAGAAGAGAGAGGGGGGCATACCCTACTTAACAGCGAGGCAGCCCCGTAACCAAACTCAAACCAGGACTCGAAGGACAGCGGAGGCAGCTGAACAAAAGCTGAAGCAACAGCCGTTACGGCCAACCGAAGCGTACGAGAGCCAGGTAGAAGCAGACGCTCGTGCAAAATTCCTGTCTTACATCTGCTATTATCCGTGCTGGCTTGGATGACATTAATCACCTTCGACATCTTGGCTAGCTAACTTTCCAATGCAAATTAAATATGACGATTAAAAAAACCTCGACTGATGTTGGCTTTTAACTACAAAAATAATAATTCTCTTCTTCACACAGGCAGCATGAAAGACAGCCGAAAACACACTAAAGGTTGTCGGTTCGAGTCCCAGGAGGGCCCTTTGGTAGGTGTTTAACCCGCACTGCTTCAGCAAAACATCCCACCATGTGAACTGTAAGCTGTGAAACATCAGACAAAATAAAACTATAAATATATGCGGATTTACCAGGCTTTTTCTCTAAAGGAAAATAATCAACATAAAATGGATATTATGCACCACCTTACATTTTTCCTTCCTCTTATATCGGTAGCATTAGTAATAATAATAGTAACGATAGTAATGATAGCAATGACAAAAATGATAATGATAATAAATGCAACCTTAAAGGTAACAGGAGCCGGCTGTGTGTCGAGGGCTCTGATTGGCTGCCTTCGACTGTGGTCTTTCTGGGGCTAATGAAGGCCTCTGCTTTTGCGGCAAAAAGATAAACATTATTTCTGGCACATTGTGCCGGCCAGTCGCTTATTTGTGGCTTAGCCTTTGTGTGCCAGCAGCGGCTAATGCTTCAGAAATCAGTGCTGCCGGGCCTCTTAGTCCGGGCCACTCCGGCACCGCCAGCGGCCCAGCCACTCCAGGGGTACATCAAACGGCCCCCCGCCCCCCTCCTCCGACCGGCCGGGGCCCACTTAAATTCCGCGCCCATTGTTGCCAATGTAGCATCGACGAGCGAGAGAAAGACAAAATGAAAAAGAGGGGTGGGGAGGGAGCGAGTCGCTTATAATGAGCTTCCTGCAGCTGAATAAATACAATCTAAACAATATGAACTGTTCTGATGCCTCCCTGTGGGCTCTCGCTCCCTCTGTCCTCGTTACTCACAGTAACGACGAACACACCATTATTAGGAATTGAAGAAATCAGAAAAATTACCTTCACATATATAAATTTTAGCATAGTGAAAGGCTATATGGAACCCCAATGGTTACGGACCTGACAATTATATTACTATAATAATACTGTAGTTGTAACTGTTCCTATAAATAAAGAAAAATACTATTATAGCTATTCTTTTTATTTACTCTAATTTACTTATACTAATTACCGAAGTTCCAAAGTGACCTGTTACTGGCTAATCCTACGCAGAAAAACAAAGGTAATAAAAGAAAAATAAAATAATTACAATTATTTTGATCACCTCAGAGTTAATTTCCCAGGAGTGGCACGGAAACGTGGTACTAAGATGTCATTTGACAATCATTTAGGCACAGAGAGTTAAGCTTAAAAACCAGCGAATTGGTCATTCTCACAAGCCAGCCAAAATCTATCTTCAATGATCTGACTGGCCGAGATATAAATTATATAATATTAAATTTAATATTATTTTAAAAAGTCAAATGCATTATTAAATGTATTATTTCTGGCTCTCAACATTCAAAGAGAGTATTTTTTAAAATGAACAAATTAACTGGATATTTACTAGAATAACTGAGGACTATTTTGAGAATATTCCTGGGGGTACCATGCTTAATCAGAGATGGTTAACTTTGTCAAATGACATCATATCCATATTGCAAATCAATAATAACTGCTTAAAAAGTCCAAGTCTGAAATGTCCATTTCACATGTTAAATTAAGTTACTATTTAAAAGGAAATGCAGATGATCCTTTTCCTGATTACTTCTGCTCTACAAATCTACATTTCTGAACATTTTAATGTGTTACGGTAATTGTTTTGCAGTAAAATGCATTAAAATGCATACTCTCTGCACAGAAAGTATGATTTCATTAGTAACCCCAATAAAGGTATTCCTGTTGATCACAAATGAGTGATCAACAGGAATCTCTTAACAATAAGAAAATAACTTTTAATAATAATGTTTGGCCAAAAGTTTGTGGGCTTGGTATTTGGAAGCAGTGTTTCTCAAACCGGTTCTCTGAGTCCCACAGACGGTCCACATTTTACCTCCCTCCCAGCTCCCAGTAGGTCAGCAGGGGGCCCGGAGGGAGCAAAAACATGGACTGGTTATGGGTCTCCGAGGACCGAATTGGGAAGCGCAGCTCGTAAGCGTGGGGTGCTGCGATACCCGGCACGCGCTGGGCCTGTGACACCCTTCCCCTACTTTCGCTATATCGCTAGCCCCATCCCTCGCTGGCAGACAGTGCAGGTACACTGTCACAGGGGCATGAACCTGCTGACCTTTCAGACGAGCTGTTGCCCGGACCCGTTCTGAGAACCTGGAAGAGCGGAGTCGGTATCTGATGCCAGACTTGGAGGGCCACTTTGACTCCGCCCCCTTAAAACATGACTAAAGCAAACTTTATGGCCCCCCCTAACATGCCCCTGTTTCTCTCACTCGCTCTCTGAACCTAAAATGAAATTTCCTTTGAGCCGGAGACAGACTGCCGCTTGCGGGTGGGCATGACGTCTTCTTTTTGTAGTTTATTTGTAAGCCTCTTATATGTGCAGAGTGTGACCGACATGATACAGCAGGGAAGACTGCCGCTTCACCCTGTCACATGCCCGCCTGCAACAGCCGCCAGCCGCTTCTCTGTTCCCAGTTCACTGCATCTCCCCTTCATCCCTCATCTGCACTACGGTCTCTCTGCTACCTCAAAATTTTTGTTATATGCGACATTAATTACAAATAAAATGACCAAGGTTGTGTTTCTCTCTATATCCAAGCCCATTCCTTGCGGAGTTTCGGTTAAATAAGGCTTGGTGTGCATAAATGCCCTCTTTTTGACCTGGTCAACTGCCTGTAAAAATAATAAAAAAAGAACAAAAGAGAGGAGAAAGTAATATTTTTCTTCCTGAGGGCACTTAACTCACATAGAAAATGTGTATCTATATAAGTATTAAACTTTATATGTGTATAACTATATACATATAAGTATTCTAAATAAGTATTAAACTAATACTATAATTGATAATCTGTATATTAAACTCTATACGTGTAGCTTCTGCATGCCGACTCCAATAATACAAGAATAAGAAGAGCAGCATTATACATTTATATTTCTACATGGACAATTTATATAAACTTTTACAAGTATTGCTCACATATGGTACAAAATGCTATAAAATAAACCATCACGGTTAAACTTCGCACCTGGGTTGTTTTGATACTGATCTATAGATCTGTCTGCAGTCAAAAACCAAGATTTTTTTCTTCTTTTAAATTCCAAACTTGCCACAATCCAGGCTAATTACGAATGGCTAACGATTGCCTCGTTGACTATATTTTCATGTATAAGATAATATCACGCCTGACTGATATTCGACAATAAGCTTTAAAATGGTCCTAAAAGCTGGGAAACTCACCGCAGTTTTAACAGTATTAATAATATTATATAACAACCTGTTGGCACGTATCACACACCACAATATACACAGGACGCCTAGAGGGTTTACAGTACGGATAAAAACCGGTGTACATCTATATTGAACAGAGGTTGAAATGTCAGGAACCCATAATTCACCTGTGTCGTTAGAAATGTAAAAACGATGCCGCGCAAAATCAATGCAAAGCACGCACAGCGAATAAATAAAAGAGATTTCTGGTGATAATTATGTCAAAGTTAAAAAAAACATAAAAGAAACAGTGGGAGTATTCATTTCAGAAAGACCTCGGGAAATACAAACAGGGCAGAAGACAACAGAGAGAGCCTACAAAATTTAAATGACATGAAAATCGTATGGAGCCACATCCTCTAACATTTATGCAATTTACACAAATGAAATAAATTTTGATTTAGGCAAAGTGATTGACACTCATACGTAAATAGACCGACGACAGGTCACCAACAGGTTATATGTTTCATACTCTTTGCACGTATAATAACTCATAAGATAATGAAATGGTGGATGAATATAATGGTGGATGTTTCATTGCGTTATTACTGCAGTTTTGAGCCCCCTAGTTTGGATAATTTGGTCTTGGGTACTGGTAAGGGGCTTCAGTTTAGCGAGATTTTATTTATTTATTTATACCAGCGACTACAGCTGAATTCGCCGCTGCACCGACGCGCCTCCCCGGCCGTGAACCCCACCGCGCCGCCGCTCCGGGCGCCCCTACGCCCGGGGCGCCTCTCCTACCCCCTGGGGACGCGGTGTGAAAACCTAGGGCGTAACGTCAAGAGCGCAGGACCCGGCACTCTTCAAAGCACCCCCCGAGCGAGCAGTATTTATGAAGTGTTATTTTTATGGGGCGCTGGGTAACAACAGTTTTAAGAGGGTCGCTCTGACCTCGCTGTGGCTGGAACTGACCTGGATCCAAGGTATTATAATAAAACAATTAGCGATGGCGCTCCGTAACGTGCGCTCCCCCCCCTAAAACTAACCCTAACCCCGCCGGCTGCCCCTGCGTACTGCCCACCTTCGGTCCTTAGACTTCGCTCCGAAATTTACTCTGGTTGTTATTCACCTTGCTACCACTGCAAACAAATAAAAAAAAAACGTAAAACCTCGGTGACCTGAATGCACCAATTCCATCAGAGGATCTTGCATAGTTCAGTAAATCTTGAATGTTGTTTTCCTGGAGGGTGTCAGTCTTACATGTAAACAAGAATGAATCTCCTGAATATTCATGGAATTTTATGGTCAGTTTCAATCACACAGGTGATTTTTAACTGCAGTGTAAATCTGCTCTGGCTTATTCTCCATTATGCTGCCCTTAAGGCTCTCTACCTTGTTCCTGTGCGCTGGGTTTTGGGCTGACAACATCTGCTATCCAGCAAAACAGTGAATATGGTGTGGATGGGGGGGGGGGGGGGGGGGGGGGAAGCCTCCCTGGCTCCAGACTCATGATCTGTCACCAGCAGTCAGCGTCAGCCTCTGAACTAGCAATTAGCTCCTGGTCTGGTTCCCCTTCACTGGCCTCTATCCCCCCCCCCCCCCCACCGCCCCTCCCCCGCCCCCGAAGGCCAGCGAGCCTGCTGACCCCCTCCGACAACACGGACATACTCACAAGACACTTTGCCCCCAAGTCTATGTCAGGCCTCTGAACTTTCCAATAAAAGGGTAAAGTATGTTTTTATTTGTTTCCGGGAATCCTTCTCAAGCAGACCTTCAGAGCTGAAATTAGGACACCCGGCCACCACAGGACGGGACGCGCATAACGCGTGGGGCGGCTGACATCGAGGGGGAGACATCGAGGGGGAGACGTCGAGGGGGAGACGTCTCTGTCGCGT